ACCATGTGGGGGTTCTGGCTACAGAATGTCCCCCTTAGTAAAGGCTACACATGGTGAGTATGCTAATCACATTAACCATGTGCGGGTTCTGGCTACAGAATGTCCTCCCGACCATCTCATGGACTCTTCCTTAAATACCAAACCAAGCAATGGGTTTTCTTTGAAGATGGTGATACACTAATCCCTGAGCAGATGTTTTGGTTATCGTTTTACTTGGAAATATTGGTTTTAGGTCGTGATTTCTTTGTGATCCCCTTCAGGGTATATTGATATGTCATTAGACAGATTAGTTCACAAGCCGAAGGTCAACTGGAACGTTAATGGTGGGGTCATTAAGGCCTTTTGTTCACTCAGGGGGCAGAGCCTTCCAATAAGGCAAGATTTCTCTAATTCTCTAAATCGTCATAACATCATGATATATTGGTTTAAGATGAGACCATTCAAATGACAAACACGCCAAATGATTGTGAGCTATTGAGGATCCTATTTTAATGTGTAAGAAAAGACACAAAAGATTTCTGTATGTTTATGATCTGACACGTTTATCTTCATAGGTCAGAGATTTGCATGCTACTCAGTAAATGCAGCAAAGTACAATAGCTGTGTGCTTTTGGCTATGGTTGGAAAAATACACTCATACATTAAATAAACTGTTTATTCCCGTAAAGAATATCAGACCTTCAGCATAATGGTATACAATCAATATTTTATTAAAACACATGCACATCCTAAATAACACAAAGTTTTATAGGGATCATTGGGGTTAATGAACTTTACTTGTGTATCTTTTGTTGGGGCTGTACACATAGTCAGCTATGTAACAGAAAAAGAGTGCAGTATTTCAAACATCAACAAGTGTTAATGTGTTTTATAAAAAAATAGTTTAATCTGAATAATAATATTTAAATTTACATTCAAATTACTGCATTCAGGACACAGCACAATGGGTTTATGCATTGTAGTAAAGTATTAAAAAAAAACTATTCAGAAAAAGCAAACATATACATTTCCTTCAATTTTAATATTGGTTGCATCTGTTTGAAGCACGTTGGTGTGAGTCCTTGCAGATAATCCAAAGACCATTGAATCTGGAAAAGAAAACCACTGCAGAATGAAGTGGCAGCTGCAGAGAGCAAAACAGAGACTGGACACATGATGAAATGGTGAAGGGTCTTTGATAAGATGCTGAAGGTTTTTCTACCTACTACTCTTTATTGGGCAACATCAAACAGCTTCTTCCTTCCCTCCATCCCAGACAGGGCATCCACATTCTTGCACCAGTCCGTCAGCTCCTCCTTCTGTGAGTCCATAATTATCCAGGTACATAATAATTAGAAGAATGTGTCTGTTCAGCTCGCCCACCAGACACGGCCCTTTGAGTGGAGCTGCCTGCGTAGATGTCGTCAGCCATACCTTCTCCTCCTCGTTCTTGATGGTCTTGAAGTTGGCCTTGAAGTCCATGGACTCCTTGTGTTTGGAGCCCAGCAAGGTGCCAAGCATGGCATCAGCAGACACCCTAACCCTTTTCAGGTTGGGTCTCTTCATTTTTCCCTTCAGCTCAAAGACTTTCTGCAACAGATTCTGAATCTAAACAATTAAATTAATGTTGAGATGAGGTGAGTTCCCCAAGGGTGTTAATACTATCAAAAGCACAAGTAATTAAATGCAGATACGAAGCATGACAGGTGTATAAATGTATCTGCATATACTTTTCCTGTGGTACCATTGCTTACCTCTGCTTCATTTTTGCTGACTTTGGCAGCAATATCATATCTTTCTTCATCAACAACATCAGTCTTGCGGTGAAGTTCTTTGCAAAGCTCCTTTGAAAATATTAGAAATGACACAAATGAACATACACTATGTTGACAAAAGTATTGGGGCACCTGCCTTTACACACATGAACTTTAATGACATCCATCCCATTATTAATACATAGGCTTTACTATGGAGCTGGCCCACCCTTTGCAGCTATAACAGCTTCAACTCTTCTGGGAAGCCTGTCCACAAGGTTTAGGAGTGTTTATGGGAATGTTTAACCATTCTTCCAGGAGAGCATTTGTGAGATCAGGCACTGATGTTGGATGAAAAGGCCTGGCTCACAGTCTCTGCTTTAATTCATCCCAGAGGTGTTCTGTCGGGTTGAGGTCAGGGCTCTGTGCAGGCCAGTCAAGTTCCTCCACACCAGACTCACTCATCCATGTCCTTATGGACCTTGCTTTGTGCACTGATGCGCAGTCATGATGGAATAGGAAACTGGGAGCATGAAATTCTCCAAAATGGCTTTGAACGCTGCAGCATTAAGAGTTCCTTTCACTGGAACTAAGGGGCCAAGCCCAAAACCCAAAAAACAACCCCATATCATAATCCCCCCTCCACCAAACTTTATACTTGCACAATGCAGTCAGGCAAGTACCGTTCTCCTGGCAACTACCAAGCCGAGACTCGTCCATCAGATTGCCAGACAGAGAAGCGTGATTTATGATTCAGAGAACACGTCTCCACTGCTCTGGAGTCCAGTGGCGGCCTGCTTTACATCACTGCATCCGACGTTTTGCATTGTACTTGGTGATGTAAGGCTTGGACACAGCTCCTCGGCCATGGAAACCCATTCCATGAAGTTCTTGAGTTAATCTGAAGGCCACGTGAAGTTTGGAGGTCTGTAGCTATTGACTCTGCAGACAGTTGGCGACTTGTGTACACTGTATCTCAGCATGCGTTGTCACCGCTCTGTGATTTTACGTGGCCTGTCACTCTGTGGCTGAGTTGCTGTTGTTCCCAATTGCTTCCATTTTGTTATAATACCACTAACAGTTGACCGTGGAATATTTAGTAGTGAGGAAATCTCATGAATAGACTTATTGCACAGGTGGCATCCTATCACAGTACCACGCTTGAATTCACTGAGCTCCTGAGAGTGACCAATTCTTTCACAAATGTTTGTAGAAGCAGTCTGCATGTCTAGGTGCTTGATTTTATACTCCTGTGGCTATGGAAGTGATTGGGGCATCTGAATTCAGTGATTTGGAAGAGTGTCCCAGTACTTTTGGCAATATAGTGTATATTCTGACTAATATACTATTGTTCTTAAAACTTTGGTCAGATGAAAAAAAAAAATTCTGATAAATTTGAGGATTAGATTTCTTGGTTTATGATATTACTAATACTAATTTATTGATCAAAATTCCTCAAATTCCTTTTATGCGTCCCTCAACTTGCTCTTTGTAGAGTAAGCTGTCTGTGAAGGGCAGCCACCCGTAGCAGCGCCCAGGGAGCTGGGGGTTAAGGGTCTTGCTCAAGGACCCGCAGACACACTGAGGCTGGGTTTGAACCTGCGACTTTGTGATTACAGGCACACAGGCTTAGCCCACTGAGCCACACGCTGCCCCGATTGAAGCATACCCAGTACACCATGCATTCTCAGCCGTTGTGTTTATTGGGTAGAGGTTTATGTGTCTCAGAGTACCATTCTCATGAACCTGAAGATGAGTATTCATCTACACTAGTGCCTTGAGAAAACAGAAGGCCTACCTGAATAAAGCAGCAGGGCTAACTAAAGACAGCAGATGACCTACCTAAAGAAAGCAGCAGTCCTGAAAATAGCAGCAGGCCTACCTGAAGACAGCAGCAGGCCTACCTGAAGACAGCAGCAGGCCTGAAGACAGCAGCAGGCCTACCTGAAGACAGCAGCAGGCCTACCTGAAAATAGCAGCAGGCCTACCTGAAGACAGCAGCAGGCCTACCTGAAGACAGCAGCAGGCCTACCTGAAGCTCCTGCACAGTCAATCCTGACAGCTTGAGGGGGGGAGCACGCTCTTTCAGTGCCTTTTCTCTCTCCACCTTCCTGTGCTCCTTCTGTCCTGCCAGTAACACTGTCGCTGTCTTCAGCAGGTTGATCTGCAAAAACAAGGGGTGTCACAGCATTGTTGTCAAAAGACATCATTTGAGCAATTATTTATGCTTGTTGTATAGTTATGCTGGTGGTAGATTGTGCAAAACCCAGAATGGAAGGATTTTGCCTGTGAATGAGCTTTCAGCTCTGGGTCCTTATCACTTCCATTATGTGGTGATAATTACATACATTTTACCATTAATGAACGAATTTTGTAATATGGGTTTAAATGTAATGGAAAAACATACCTTTATAGAGAGACTCCGGGATGCAGTGGTTTTATATTTTTTCTGCAAGGAGAACAGTATCTGTAGATATTGGTATAAGAAATCATCTTGCCTCCACAGCACAATTTTCCCCACATAAAACAAAAGCTTAGCTGTCTTTTTCCACACCCAGTAACATAACAGGCACACCAGCAATAAAAAAACAACAAGAGCGTTATGTACTGTGCACAGGCAAAAGGAATTTCTTTTTACTGAAAAGTGCTTATTTTGTACGATGGAACATTACTCACGCTTCTGACATGGTTATGAGAAGGGACCCTCGAAGACTCAAATTTCTTGTAAGCATAGCAAAACTAGGATGCATTCATTAAACTTTAACCTGACACATAATACCCAAGAAGAATTAAGTAATTTATACCAGTTCTGTTGTGTACAATAAAAGAACTGGCAGAAAACTAAATGATCACACCCAAGATGTAATTTCCTAAGGGAGATATCAATGGGGGTATTACAGTAGCAGAGTTATAAATCTGAGTGTGGCAGATGTGGGTCAGTCGGCTTGCTGTGAAACCTAGCCACCAGGTGCATTGTGGGTGATCAGTCAGCTGTCAGTAACAGCTCCTCTGGGAGCATTTTTCCCATCATCTCGCTGCATCGCCGAGATGATGGACTTCAAACAAACATATAAAGAGTGAGGGAAGGGTGAGAGACTGAGAGGGAGTGAGCGGGAGAGAGCAGGTGACACCCTTCTCGTACAACAGATGCCTGAGAGGATTAAGGCTGATTTCAGTTATAGGCTCCCTGCAGTGTGAAAGCCAGGCTCAGGAATGAAAATCTCCAGAGAAACATTCCCGTGTGCGGTATCCTGTGTGCGGTATCCTGTGCACAATATACTGTGCGCGGTATGCTGGGAACCTCATGCTCGCTACTCCTAGCCAGTTCATGTGCTTATTCACCGCTTTCCACTTATGAGAAATGGCATGTGACGTGCTTGTTGGATATCTGTCTCGCTACGCATGTGCAACATGCAGTGCACAGACAACGCATGCAGATATGTACTGTACATGGCAAGCTGCAGGCTGCTTCTGAGAGATGTTACATGCTTTTTCACCTCTCTTGTTCTAAAGTTTTACAGCTTTTACTTTTATGTTTGTGTAGCAGCTGTGCTGTTTCCCGTAATGCTGTGTGCCAACTCACAAGATACTCAGTCATACTGTATCTTACCTCTCTGCTGATGGAAAGTGAACAGTAATGAGCAGAGGCAACACGAATCATATATACAGTTTAGTGTCTGTCCTCTGAATGGTTTACTGAAATAGACCCGCATCTACGACACTCTTGTGCAGAAATGTGACGTTCCCTGAACTCTCTTGTGTTGGGCTTTGACCTCTGAGGCCATTGATTGCCCTTATATGGCACTCCTGGATCCAGGAAGGCTGTCACTCATTTTAAAATACTGCTAGGCAGTGAGCTGTCACCGTGGCGACTAGTCTCCTCCATGACACAGCCTGCTCGCATCACACGCCTGTATTATGTTTAGTCAAACACTTGAGTGAGTTTTCGCCAGCCCGGGCCTGAGTCCATTCAGCTGTCTTCGGCTTGTTGAATGTCAGCATGCTGAGATCCAGGCCAGCCTGAAGCTGTCATCAAGACCAAGAGAGCTGCTAGCACAGTGGGCCCATTGATGGTGTTTGGGCCCATCGATGGTGTTTGGGCCCATCGATGGTGTTTGGGCCCCCCCAGTACCATCTGCTTCTGCCGGGTCTGCAGAGATCGCATTATTTTATGCAGTCTCTTCCTTGAATTTCTGCATCTCCAGAATCTGAGGGGTTACAAATGAACTGAAAATTTCATCGATCTTTGAGCATGTTACTCAAACTCGATCTTTATTTTAGCAGAGGCTCTTATTGAACATTGAAGCCCGTCTGGAATATAATACACTTTGATGTGAAGCAGCATTTGGTCATTTTGAATATGGCTGCCGTCGTACCATCTGCACTGGCCCATGACCTGTATGGCATGCATAAGCCAAGGGTAATGAAAAATGATACCCTGGAACAGCTTCACTTTTGCCTGACTTCTTTGTCATGCGAGATATTTTGGCTGCCTGACATTCGATTGGCTGCAGAACAGAGGATTCAGGGCATTGTGCGCGCAGCCAGTGGCGTCGTACGGAGAAACAGAGTCGCGTCGTACGGAGAAACAGAGCCGCGTCGTACGGAGAAACAGAGCCGCGTCGTACGGAGAAACAGAGCCGCGTCGTACGGAGAAACAGAGCCGCGTCGTGTGGGTGAACTTAGCCCAACAGCTGATCCTGCCCCTAGCGACCAGCCTGACAGACAGCGCTGCAGGTTTCAGAAGTTACCTGAGCTTTTCTGCTGTTTGATTACTAAGCGTAAAAGATGACTAATGTACCATCCTTAGATACGGTATAGATCTGAAAATGAACGATATAAAAAATGGCAAAAGCGCTTTGTGTGTTTTGTCTTGGAATGTCCAGTGTGCTACCTCGGCCCAGTGCAGCATGGGTATGTTTACACATCAAACATCAATATAGGTCCTGAGGGGATTGGTTAAACCAACACTGACCCCTTGCCCAAAAAAATCATGTGCCCAGTGTGAAGAAACGAGGTGATGACAGAGATGTGGATGCCTTTCGGCACTTCATAACGGTGTGATATTTATGACGCGACCAGCCTGGGCAGGCGGGGGCCGCTTCTGGCCGGAGCTCCTCCACAACGTGCTCTGCGGCGCTGAATTTACTGGGTCCTGTCGCCAGCTTTGCTGCCGGTCGCCCTCTGCTTTCCTTCACTGCTTCGCTTTCCTTCACTACTTCATTACTTCACTTGCATCACTTTACTGGAGGTCGGTGCTTTTGCTAGAGCAGTCAATGAAGTGAAAAGTAAATGGAATGTTAAAGTATAATATCGTAACAACCAGTATGTATAGTGCAGCTAACTTATTCCAGCAATTATCCTTTATGACTCAGGATCGAGCTCTCCCCATTTCTCTACACTGTATTTTCATGTTAATGGCTGCCATAAAGGGGGGGAGCAATCACAGGGTTCCTGAACTCCAGTAATAACAGAACATGTTATTCCTTCTCTCAGAACTAGGGCAGATGGGCTTAAATGTTTAGGCTGAGTTATTTTGTGGTTTCAGATGAGTGGAACAGGTGTGGGTTCCCATAATGAAAGACACTCTGCCAGCACTTTTCATGGGCATTGAATACTGTGCATTGCAGAGATATGAATAGGCAGGAGATAGAGAAGAGCAGTCATTTCTTGGATGATGTACCTGATCAGGGTTTCTGTGATTGGCTTTTGGAATCCAATTAAAGGTCACATGAACAAGTCATACATACATTATTGCAAAGATCACAAATCATTGTGACATCATCTGTCCACACAGTGCTGCCTGCCTTAGCATGCTTAGCACGTGATGCTGGGTACTGATTGGACAAGATACCATTTTGTTAGCAAAGTTAACATATTCAGCACATTTATTCTGTAAATAATGCAACTAGTGATTAAATGTGTGGTAACTGTCCACGGGGTGGATTATTGTTTAAGAAAGAGAGGAGCACTTTTTTTGAGAAAGTGTCCTGGAAACAAATTAAACTGAAGGGGAAATAAGCAAATGTACATCCAACCAATGATTTATTTTCTGTAATGACCAACATTTTGTTGGGCAGCATCTTTCATCCATTTTAGCCTTAATTAGCGTCCATGTGCTTAGGCCAGCCAATCACTTCCTTCTCTTTTGGGATCAACAATGAGAGGTATGTTTAGTAATGTGAAAAATCCAGAGGGATTTGGGCTGCAGACTCAAACTTGCTGCTGTCTTGTCCTGTTTCTGATCTAAGGAGGTACAGACTGGCCAATCTGTAGTCCTGAACTGAGAGACGTGTTTACCATAAGATGCAGCCCAGAAATGTAGCTTCTTTATGGTTTCATGGTTGGGGTTTGATGGACTCCACATCCTCGAGCCCTTTCAGATTGCCAGGATCTCCAGTTCATCCTGTTCCCAGTTGGGCTGCTTCATTGTTCTACATACCTTTCCAAATATCGTGGCTCACCTACGCAGACAGTCCTGACAGTTTCTGCTGGGCAACCTACTCGTTCAAAGTCAGTCATCCTTCTTCTCTCACTATTATCTTCTCCAGCAACTTGATCTAGCCTTAGTGAGCCTGTGTCTTGGTCACTACAACAAACACATGGCTACGCGGCAGACATGATAGACCTGTCACTTTGCTGGGACTGCAAGAACATTTGTTTGTTTTGTAAATCAATTATGGTTAGAAAGGCCCAAACAGAAGGCAGGAAATGTTACCTTCTGCTCTATCACTTCTGCACTTCTATCACTTGGTTGTGTAAATCATTCATTTGTTTGAAAAAAGGGGAACTTATCTGGCAAAGCCACACACAGCTGTGATGGGGTTCCGTCTTTGGCCTAAATATTTGACATGGTATAACGTGCATGATTGAAGCCTGGGGATCTTCATAGGAGACCAAGGAACTTCCAGACGGCATCATAAATCGGTGAAAGTTATGGGAGAGGATGCTTGCACAAATTCCCTGTTACCCAATTCAATTACTACATTGTTTGTTGTCCTGCTTAAACGTTACTAAACACGATCCACAGATATCTAGATCTCAAAGCAGCAGAACACATTGCCTTTGTGCTGTCAACCAAAAAACCTAATTTTATACTTGAACGCCCCCTTGTATTCTTTAGGTTGCACTTGAAATACACAGGTGAGTTTGAGTTATGTTTCTGTTACAATGTTAAGTTGTTTGACTGCAGGAAATGTAGTACAGATGAATGAAATCTTCTCCTCCATGGGAAACATTCCTGTTTTTATAGGAACCAGATCTGGAGTATGTAAGAGTAACTGGGAAATACAGTAACAAGTAAATCCTTTTAACAAATGATTAACTGCTAAAATGCTGTTCAGGATCGCCATGACGTTGTGTCTCCACATCCGACCTCTACTTCCAGCACTCTACTGTTATGCAATTAGCCAGATCATCAGCAACGTCTAGTTAACAGCATAATTTATGGGTTTAAAAGCAAGTTTAAAGCTAGTATCATATATCTTGTGTTGTTGTTGTTATTTAATATTCAAAACATATGTTTTCACTTGTTAAAGAGCAAAAGAATGTGGCTGGTTTTTATGAGTGTTGCATGATGGGAAAGTATTAATTGTGAAGAAAATACTGACAGTTAAGGAGAAGCACAGATTCTCCTGAAAGCAGACCACTGCTCAGCTTTAATTGTTTTTCTTGGATTTCATAGTCAGAGCTTGAAAGATTGCCTGAATCAAAGGGGAAAATATAAATAGCAGGCGAAGCTGATGTCTGAAATTTGCCCCCCGCGGATAAAATCAGTAATGAGCATGATAAACAGTTCCCAAAGTGTACAATTTTTAACCATTAGAAGGTGCGCACAAAAAGTGATTTATTCATTTTGTTTATTCAGCCATATGACCCTCCACAGAGAAACATAGAGTGCATAGACAATACAAAAATCGCGCCATTTTGCATTTAACTTGCATCTGAACTTCAGAGACAGTGCGGCCTCTGAGCACAGAGAGACCCTCTATTTCAGGAAACAGCGTCTGGAATTCATCCTGCTGCTTCTGATATGTGGGGCCTGTTTAGCTGTACATAAGCCATCTGAATATAGACTATTTATCTCCATGACATTTCAGTTTGATCTTTGAAAAAGAACAAAAAATGCTACAGGATACCAGGTGTAAAGCTTACATACACACACAAATGCTGTATAACCTCAATGACCCAGCATTTTACATTTAAAATAAGTTTTTCAAAAATACGTACAGAATGTACCCAAGTATTGAAAGGTTCATTCAAGGGGTGTCATACTGTTTTACACGGTGCCTCCTTCAGCAAATCAGACCTTTTATTGAACCAAGGTAGGAATTATCCTGAATCTGAAAGAAAATAAGTTTCTATTTTAAATATTCTCAAACTTAGAAATAGACAATAATTTTTATGTTTGTTTCATAATAAGAGAATGTAACCTGGTTTACAGAGCATACACTGTGCCTTGATGTTCTCTTTAACTGCAACTGTTGTGGGAATTTTGCAGGGACTAAATGCATATTGTTTGAAATGGTTTAGCATAACGGATTCATGTTTTGTGAAACTTTGCATTTCACTTAAAAAGCTGAGTAAAGGTTGCATAGTGAATAGGATGCAATTGGTAGCATTTCTTCATATAACGCTGCCTTACCAGAGCGAACACTCTTACTGGGCGTTGAAGAGCTTCTTCCTGCCCTCCATTCCTGACATAGCTTCCACGTTCTTACGCCAGTCAGTCACTTCCTCCTTCTGTAGAGTAAACATGTTGAGATGCACTATTACGACAGGTCCCTAGCATGCAGGAGAGCAGTAATAAATGCTGTTCTTTTGGACCCTTATTCCTGTTGACTACCCGTACCTTCTCCTCTTCCTTTTTGACAGTCTTGAGGTTAGCCTTGAAGTCGGCCTTCATTAGCTTATTGTCTGCCAGGGCACCCAGCATATCGTCAGCTGACTTCTTCACTCGTTTCAAGTTGGGTCTCTTCATTTTGCCCTTCAGCTCAAAGATCTTCTGACTCAGGTATTGGATCTGTCAACAGTCAAGTTACAGTGTGACAAAGTAGTGTAACATCAGATCTGTTTCCCATACATAAGAAATGTTTATGCGTAGATGTTCCCTGTATATCTGATGGAGCTGCGGTTCCTGCTGTTTCTGTAGATGTTCCCTGTGTATCTGATGGAGCTGGGGTTCCTGCTGTTTCTGTAGATGTTCCCTGTGTATCTGATGGAGCTGGGGTTCCTGCTGTTTCTGTAGATGTTCCCTGTGTATCTGATGGAGCTGGGGTTCCTGCTGTTTCAGTCTGAGAGGGGCATTTTTAAGAGTATGAGGAAATTGAGGTAGATTTTGCTGACCTCATCCATGCTTCCAAATTTCTGACATTCTCCTTATATGCATGCCTGTATGCAGAGAGACTGTGACCGTTTGTGGGCCAAAGCCATGGGGCTTATCCTCATACCTGCCCTTTTACTCCCTGGTTCAAGGTGTCCCTCAATCCCAAATTGCTCCAATATCAATGCTGTATAAATGGGTAAAAACTGATTTACACTAAGTGTCACCAAAACTCCTCTATGTAAATGGCCTGCAAATGTCAGCTCACTTTCATAGTAATGCTGCTTAAATGCTTGTGTTGCATTGCCAAAAACCCCATTTGTAAATGATTAATAACAAATATATGACGTTAGCAGTGAAATAGGGATACCTCGTTTTCATTTTTGGCCACTTTTGATTCAATATCGTACCGTGCTTCGTCAACAACATCGATCTTTTGGTGGAGCTCTTTGCACAGGTTCTGAGCAGAAAGAGGAAATGTAGAATTTATTAACACAGACACGTATTTTGCTGCTTTAATCGCCATGTGAGCCGCCTCTGAATTGGACTCAGTGAACAGAAATTAAATCTCTCTGAACCGCAGGATCACAATGGTAATGAGTTCATTGGACAAAATGGTAACATGACGTCCGACAGACGTTTAAGGAAAGGGCCTATTAATAATCCGGGCCACGGCCATTATTATTTTTAATTGCCTAAGCATTCATTCCTGCCACTGGATGGCGCAGAAATCAAAAATTCAATTTTATTACTTTACCAATCGGCAGGTTATTTCTGACACAAAGTCATTTCCTTCACCTTGTGGTATAAAATTGAATTTAAACACTCTGGATGCTTAGTGTTCCACTAGAAAAGCTTTATGGGACTGTGGCCTCTGTTTGACACCCTTCGCAAGTAAGAAGCAGAAATCATTACATTGCCTCTCCTTTGAGTGACAGTTTATGTGATGATTAAATCACCCACTTTTGTTTTGGGAGTGAATAAGGAAGCATTAGCGATTCAGCTCCTCATGTTTAAAAAAATAATCAGAGCATATTTTTCAATGTCAGCATTTAGAAAGGGCTTCTGTCTGACCCCAAACACTTACTGTGAAAATTGATCTTGGGTGAGTGTCAGTTGGACTGCATCTCAGCCAGCCTCTGTTTGGGTCGCTGCCGGTTTTACCCCTACCTTCGCGTTGCACTCTCTGTGGCGTACCTGAAGGTCCGGGACGGACAGGCCGGACAGTCTTAGGGCGGGGACTCTCTCGTTCAGGGTCTGTTCCCGTTCCAATTTCCGTTTCTCCTCCTCGGCCACCAGCATGGCAGATGCCTTCTTCAACATCTTGGTCTGCAGAGACACCGAGGGTTACCGAGGTCAATACCGGGCCACGTTTCTTTGCGATGCAGACCGGTTGGGGTGAGCTGCTGGTGGGACTGGGCTGGCCCCGTTAGTTTAAGGCAGGGGTGTCAGACTCCAGTCCTGGAGGGCCAGAGTCCTGCACATTTTGGGGTTTCCCCTCATTTAACACACCTGATTCAACTCCTTGCACCAATTACCACACAACTCTTGAGCTGAGTCGTTTGTGGTGGAAAAGGGAAAGAACTAAAGCTACACAGGGCTCCGGCCCCCCAGGACTGCAGTTTGACACCCTTGGTTTAAGGGGATGATTTTCACACTGAATGAACAAATAAAAAGCTTTATTTGAAACACTAAACATTTTCTCATCTATCCTTTCCTGGTAAATAATTTGTGTTCTTCATTATTTGACATATTTTAAAAACGAATTGTCCAAAACGTACCTGAGCATTATGAGTTGGAGCTCTATGTTGTAATGAACTCTGTGTCTCCTGTCAGAGATTTAACCATTTAATTATAGATAGAATATTCTAGCTGGACGCACCTTCAGCAGCAGCCTGCGGGTGGCAGAGTACTTTGTCTTTTTCTGAAAGGAAAGGAAGGGATGTAAAAAGCCAGGACACTGATCCCACAGACAGCCCTTATGAGTAAATGCCATGTGTCCGTTACTATGCCTTATTACACCAGCTTACACCACTATGTTCAAAGGGGAAGCATAGCATCTGCTACACACCACTAATGTACACAAAGGTCCCCACAGGGACTCCTGGCCTAGACCAAGACCTGTTTGAGTGACACGAGCTCCCTTTGAGGCGTCTGCAGTCAGACACTGCTGTTCATTCTTCTAAAATTCAGTCAAATGGCATAAACTGTCTGTGCAGGCAGATTCCACTACATTGAACTAAATTCCACCACCTTTGATAATGAGCAATACTTCGTTGATTCCTGTTGGGAAATTGTCCCTATGCCTCCCTCAACTCACTCTTTGTAGAGTAAGCTGTCTGTGAAGGGCAGCCTCCCATAGCAGCACCCAGGGAGCTGGGGGTTAAGGGCCTTGCTCAAGGACCCACAGACGTGCTGAGGCTGGGTTTGAACCGGCGACCTCCTGATTATAGGCACACAGGCTTAGCCCACTGAGCCACACACTGCCCCTTAATCTGCCCTTGAATAACTTCAATAAAACAATAAAAAATGCCATTTCAGACAAGACTGTACTAAAGGATGCAGCAGACTCCAGACCTAAAGTGCTTTTTTTATGAGTGCAAGTTTGGATGAGATTGAAAGATAGACTTTATTAATCCCCGAGGGAAGAATTATGGAAAAGGAAATAAACTATCAAACAGAACATTCCTGTAGTTAATTATTTAAAGCATGATTATGGTCGGTCATACGGAGAAGTGACTCGTACCTGAATACTGCCCCCTGAAAACAGAGCAGAACCGCAGGCAGAGTGTGTGCTGACCGTCACACAGATTTGAGGGCCACACAGTGCGTTCCATGATAAATATGAACTCAGACTTCAGTCACATGCACTTTTAAATATGCTTAGCAGATTAGTTCAGAGTGAGAAAACTAGGATTCAGTCACATCTTGTCGGGAAGAAGCGTCTTGCTCTAGAGAGCAGGCAAACTGACTCACCGGTCTGTGGGAAAGATATCAAAGAAGACTGTTAGAAACGGCACATAATGAGCTACAAATAGTTTCAACAAATGAGGAAAGAAAGAAGAAAAATCTCACCCCTCAGACATGTCTGCTGCAGTTCTGGGCCCTGAATGAGAGGTCAGAGGCATTAGGTAGAGCCTGGATATAGTGCTGGAGCATATTTTGGGAGCCTTGTGATTTGAATGATCAAAGATCCCAAAGAAAAATGGGCCCCAAATTACTTTCACATCAGGTTGGCTTGAGCTCAGTCGCACGACCAGTCAAACGTTTCTCACACCACAGGTTTTTAACACTTTTACATTGATTTCATAAACTGCAGATTTTTAAATTCTTATTAAGCACTGAAAAGTTGAGTGAACAATTATAAATGAAAATGTAACAAATAAAACAAGTTTCCTTTATATCATGGAAAGAGTGTGTAACAGTACATGTCTCACATCCTATTAACTGGATGTGTGGTGATGGCAGAGTCAGATTCTAGGTTGTCCTTTAACTTTAAATGCTCTAGTTAAATGTTCCGTCCAATAAAACTGGGCAGTATTTAATGTCCCTTGTAGAAAAAAAATACCTCATATTTTCTCTGCTGTTATTACTGCTACAGGAGGCCCAATTTGATTAATCAAAGATATGACATTTTCTGGCTGTTAAAGGTATTCAAATGGTGAACATACTGCAAATTTATTTGTTAACAAAGAATATTGAGTGTATTTTTTAATAAATGTTAAGTGAGTAACATGCAAATGTAGGAAATCTCAGTGTGCACAAAAACTTTTGACTGGTAGCCTATGTTAGAAAAAAATGTAAACAGTAACATTTCTGACATCCTCAAGGTCACGTTTGGGAGGAAGGTGTCACTGAGTGGCTGAGTGAGCCGGGGGTTAAAGCGGGGGTTAGGGGGCAGTGAGCCCCCCCACAAAATGTCTCTGGGGAGCTTAGGCACCCCCCCCCCCACTGGGGAAGCCAGGCCTGATATTTTTGTCCCCTTTGCCTGAGTGACAGAGATATAACAATAAGACACTATGAACAGTAAACAGGGGGGGGGCTGCCAGTGGCCAATGCGTATTTAAAAGGGGCGGGGTCAGCCTGTGCCCTGCTACTGTATGCCATTGGTGTTGGCAGACAAAGCCTTTGTGTGCTGTGAGCCCACAGGTCTGAACACACGGCACTAAACTGCACATAAATGTTCACAGAGGATTGGCTGTGTCCTTCTTTTTGGCACTCTGAGCCAATCAGTGTTAAGGGCCAACAGTGAGCCAATCTGGCCACCCCCACCAGGCGCAGTGAGAGCCAGTCAGTGTTAAGGGGCGACGGTGAGGTGGCTTGTAATCTAAAAGCGGCAGGCTGAAACAAGACAAACCTTTCAGTTATATTCATGCGCGCAACCATAATGATTGCGAACGATTCTCATTCTGCAACCCGCCGAAATGATCATATTCAAAAATGACATATCGAATGACATTATTTGGCTGTCTTCCATAGCCGCTTTTCCAGTACAGGGTTAGAATGCATGGCTGGACTAAATAAATAAGGCGTAACTCTAATCCATTCTCTAAGCACAAAGAACAGTTAGTCGCATATCCATCTGCATAATTGCAATTTCTCAGGAAAAATGGATTGTAAACTTATGTGCCAGTTACAAAAAAGCCTCTTATTCCAACAGATTGGGTAGAGAGTCACTTGTGGCTACCTGCAGTCGATACCTTCATTGGAACCTATTCAAGAAGTGAACCTCGATCGCTGTGAGAACGCAGTTAGAGCAGAGGACAGACTCCCTGTATTTCCCACTCGGAAAGCCCTGACTCTCATCTCGGGAGCCTCCTGCCATACTTCCTTAGATGCCACCCTACACAGACAGGTTTCCGGGAGGTGGGGGAAGATCTCGAACGCCAGTGAGCACCACCAGATTTTAGCTGCACAAATTCCTGAACATAAACACGACCATCAATATGACACCAAGACCCTGGCAGAAGAGAAATTCTTTGATATCAGTTCCCCACAAATCTACGGACGGCTGGCATGTCCCCCTAAGAGAGGGTGAGGGACACGTCCTCGGGAGATGCCATACGTTGCCATTGACGTCTACGAGCCACTCTTGGAACTGCCTCTGTTCTTGGCAAGCCTGTTATTTATGTTGTCCCCTAAAAACACCCGTAAACCCCCCCCCAGAGTGAAGCAGATTAGCTTTATTAGCGCAGCTAGGTCTGACGCGAATGCTCCTGCGGATGGGGCATTTCTACGGCGAGTCACTTTATTGCACGGGACAGTTTGGCCAAACTTACCTTCAAGGTGAAAACAGCAGGGGAGAGTGAGCAGAGCTGGGAGGCTGCAGAGGAAAGATGACTTTATGATTTTTAATGACAGAGCTATGACTGCCAACCCTCTTGTGAATGGTTCACTAAAATAGTCCCATCCCACCCTTCTGTCACCGCCTCCTGTCCAGCATTCGTCACATAGCATTCGGGCGTCTCTGTGCGTCCGGTCCTGCACCGAGCCCAACCTCTGACCGGGTCCTTTTCCTGGCATGTGCACACACATACACAAAGAGGCATGCATGCCTACGTGTAAATACACACACACACACACACACACACACACAGGTTCGTAATTATATCTTTGTGGGGACTCTCCATTCATTTCTATTTGAAAAACTCTAATCCCAGCATGACGACCTTAAGCCCCCTACCCAGCCCTAACCTTAACCATAAGCAACCAAACAAAATGAAAGACATGGCATTTTAAGGTTTTTGGTCACATTCACACATCTTTGTGGGGACCTGAAAAGTGGTCCCTACAACGTCAAAAAAACAGGTTTTTATTACCATGTGGAGTCATTTGGTCCCCACAATGTAATATAAACATAATTCACACACACACACACACACACACACACACACACACCAGAGTGGGGAGAGAATGATCTGGAAGCTGTCACTTCCCTTTTAGTTTAACAAGCCACACTCAGGAAGAATACGTCAATTAATTTGATGGAACTTCGCACTCTTATCTCTGACTAGGGTTGAATGGACTTCCCAGAGTCACGGTGGGACTGAGAGCCTCGTGGCCGACTCACACCTGCACACTCACCCTCTGCACTAAGGTCACGCCGAGGTCATCCCAAGGTGAATTCTGCCACATGCCACTTGCTGAGAAGCTCGTATCCAGACAGCCTGGCAAAAAAATGAAGTCTGGCAAATAGACAGCGGTGGTCATGTGCGGCGAATCATGAGCCTGAAGTGGAGCATGACGCCAGTCGGCCGCTTGGAGGGTCACACGGAACAGCTCTGATGACGGGGGCTGCAGCGATGCACGCACTCCAGCTTAATCTGCTCATTCTGCCAGCTTTCCATTGTCTCAGAGCAGATTCCTCACTGACATACGAGTAGAGACTCAAACTCATGGAAAATGCTCTCTGAATCCACGGTAACTTCTCAGCTCAGAGCGAGCTCTGTTTTTAAAGTGAGGATGGCCATTGTAGTCAGGCTTACAGGTTCAGGTTGGACCTTATAGTTACATCGGGACCCACAGGCCCATGATATAAGGTTGGGGTTCAAGGGACACTCTGAATCGCCGTGCGTCTCTGTCTCTGTCTGTCTATGTGTCTGTCTGTGCCTGTCTTTCTGACTGTCTGTCTGTCTGTCTGTGTGTCAGTCTGTGTCTGTCTATGTGTCTGTCTGACCCTGTGTCTGTATGTGCCAGTGTGCCTGTGTGTCGTCTGTCTGTGTCTGTCTGTCTGTGTCTGTCTGTCTGTGTCTGCCTGTCTGTGTCTGTCTGTCTGTTGCCTGGTTTCTCACCCAGAGGCCATTACTCTTATACCTTCTGCTTTTTCGGACAGCAGCTGGATGATAGACATCATTGTTCTTTCCGCTGCTGAAAATTGAGGAATGTATTGAGGAATATAAATTGAGGGGCAGCGTGTGGCTCAGTGGGCTAAGCCTGTATACCTGTAATCAGAGGGTCACCAGTTCAGCCTCAGCGTGTCTGCGGGTCCTTGAGCAAGGCCCTTAACCCCCAGCTCCCTGGTCACCCCAACAGGTGGCTGCCCTTCGCAGACAGATTACTCTACAAAGAGCAATAAAGGCAATTTCCCCACAGGAATCAATAAAGTATCAATTATTATTATATTAGAAGTTATTGTAACATTAAAACTATTTTGCTAAATACCTAAATTAGTAGTAAATATATCTTTATCTAAATTATTAGATTTATTTATTAAAGTAAATAGACGTAAGTTAACACAATCCACCTGCTCTGGCTACAGACACACTTCAGTGAGGAGAGGCCAGTCACAGGAAAACAAGACCCACCTCTGGAGCTGAATCCTGCATGATCAGCGGACATGTTCTTAAACGTGTTTGGCTGCAATATTTATAAATCAGCACAGTGTAAATGGCAAATAAAGTGTAGAACTGTTGTTTCCAAGACCTTGGTCTCTCAGATACACCTATTCTTTCCGACATGATGGATTTGCTGCAAGGATTGCATAAGATGTGACACCTTTGAATGCGGCTCACTGTTCCTCCTGATTTTGTGTCGGTTCTTTGCATGTTGCTTGTATCTGTTATTTACTTCTCCCTCCCTGTCAGTGTCTTTTCCCGTGTAACTGACAGATTCTTTAATTTTTCCAAATTACAGTTGAATGGGATGTTGTCTGGTGTCCAGTAATTTTCCATTCCTACTCTAATTTAATGAATATGATGAGATATTTCAGGTTCTCTGGGATTAATGGTTAGTGCCCCCAAAGCAGACAGGCACCACCTCACTTATGTGTGCCAAGTGTTTTATGAATTTTACCCTGACATTTTGGTGCTGTTATTTTTCCTGATCATGTCATGTTTTTATTAGATATGCCTTCGTGTTTTATTGTGGTGTATTTTTCATTTGAAACTTGACATCCACTGGAGTGTTTTCAGTTTGTCTTCTTGCGTGTTTGTGTGTGCGTGTTGATTTAGTGAAGCTCTATTTCACTAATTATTGTAAAATTATGAGCGAGTACGGCCCCCTGCAGTTTTAATTAGAATCCCATGGTTCTAATTTTAATTAGACTGGGCTTATATAATGATCTCTCATTAAGTCTGTCCCATGCGACCTTGTGTAATTATCTACATGGCATCATCATGCTCACCAATGCCGTACATCGGCAGGTGCCACACATGAGCCGACTCGTCCGTGAGGGTTAGGGGGTATGGGTTAGGGGGTATGGCTGAGCCAGGGGGGGCAGGTCCTCTTCCTTCACAGGAAATTAAAAGCAGCACATGGAACTCTTAATGTTGTTTGAATGACACTTACACCCAGTGTAATACTGGAGACGTTTTTCATCACCTATGTCTTTTACGTGTACATTAAGTAGAGAGCTGAAAGTGAAATACTTCCTTCTTTGTGTTTTTTCATGCATGATTTCCCATGAATCCTTGCTGTTACAACAAGATCATTTCTCTCTGGAACATACATAAAATTGCAAACTGCTTTATCATGTATAATTTATGATTGTGTCACCTATGAGCAAGAAATTATTAATATGTGTGTTTATACTTTGGGCACTTAATGTGGGGAAAAATACTAGGTAATAGTGAGTGTTACTGTAAATCCTCTTTAGGTGTGAACCCTCCTTTCAGTCCTTTTTATCCCACTCATTTTAACACAACAGGGTCCAAAGTGCAGGACAGACACTGACGTGAGTATGGATGGGCACGTGCACCTTGAGCTTTGATGCTCCTCTCCTGTCTCACCTGCTATGTGAGTCTGCCCCTTCCAGTGTCACCCCGTGCTGAGAGTGCCTCATTCCAATATGGCTGCCTAAGGACTTCTGCACAACCCGAGCCGTGTTCAGAAGCGCTCACTGAAATGAGGAGAGGGAGCGAAGACACGGCACCTGTGGCCAATGTGGCCAAAGCAGTAGCTGAGGGAGGTTTGGTGATACGTGGGACGTGGGGTGATACGTGTGACATGAGGTGATACGTGGGACATGAGGTGATACGTGGGACATGGGGTGATACGTGGGACGTGGGGTGATACGTGGGACGTGGGGTGATACGTGTGACATGGGGTGATACGTGGGACATGGGGTGATACGTGTGACATGCGCCACTCCCGCCGCCAAGCTGCAGAACCTCAGACGGTGTTACTCTCCCATGCACTGATGGTGCGGAGGACGCAGGGCGGCACGCATTTGGCTGCTAGCCAGTCAGTCCTCTGTCTCAGAGCGCGTTTCATTCCTCTTGGTAAGAAATTGCACAGACATGATTTTGTTGACAATAAACGGTTTTATATGCAAAATACATAAATAATGAGTGAACATTCATTATGTCTTATTTTTACATGTTTTGCAAGCAATTTGCAGAGGAAGGGTGTTTTTTTTGCTGCATATAGGCAGGTGAGTTTCTGAACGTTAATTAAATGCACTAAATTGGCATGCAGAATGGCAGGTAACTTCATAGGAGGTGCGGCATGGTGTGGGAGCCTCCTGCCGTGAGCGTGGAGGAAGAGAGCCGTCGTCAGCCAGGCTGCACGCCCACACAGACATGTCCTAGCTGGGCTACACATGCGTTGCCATGAAAACAAGTTACAATTTTACACCCAGGGAAGAGCTTCACATACAGGATTGGAATCGGAAGCATTAAACACTCAACCCAGGACACCAATTTCATCTCTAAAGACTGAATATCACTGAGGGAGTAAGATGGTATTATTTATTTTAAAGTTTAAATATTTTTTTTAATGCCATAATTTGAAAGTGTCATGTGGATAGAGCGTATTTAAAACCCTCTGTGTGTGTGTGTGTGTGTGTGTGGGGAGGGGTTATGCTTAAAAGGCACATTTTCTCTGCAATTTCATTATTTGACCGACATTTTGCATTGAGAAAAGCCAAGCTAATGGAAAGCGGTCATCAGAGACCAGTGGTCACGGATAATTACCATAGTGTTTCAAATTCGACACAAAACTAGTTTCCAAAATTCCCCTTGTTGTGTTTTTCCCTCCAAATACATTGGCAGAGAGAAACCCCCATCACAGACAGAGGGGCACGGAAGCGTTTGGCTGGATGAAACGCCTGCGTAATGTATGGAAAAGGGCAAATGCAGCCTTCAGTCATCATTCTTCATGTTTACGGGCTGCTTCCAGTTCAGTTTGCGTTTTATGGTCAAACTATGTCCAGTTGCTTTCAGAATGAACTGAATGCAAAATCACTTGGGTCTGTGGTAAGACAGCAATCGATTATAGAGCTAGTTAATTAATGTATTGATTGAGTAATTAATTTTTCCATTGATTGTTTGGCTGATCGACAACAGAGTGAGGATTCATAACAAAACAACTAGGGCAGCAACCTTAACGTGATAAACAGGTTTATTTCTGATTGGACATTTTGCTAAATTGCCCATTGGGTGGGAATCTGAGGTCACGGTAGCTCATTTGGAGATCCAGGCTTGTGTGACAGCTACTTTGCTTTATGGTCAGTCTGTCTT